CAAGTGGTAACCGTGTAAGAGTTATTACTTCAAATAAAGTATTTTAATTCAAATACTTATTATGTATATATTGTATGTACTAATAAAATCAAGTTGTTTCGCATTTAATTCGAAAAAGTTTTTTATTTACCTAAACGGAACAAACTATTATACGACTTCATCAGACTTGGCGCAATAAGCAATTTAGTTGCACGGTTACAAAAGTACCTATCCAATATCTGATTCTTTTCAAATACGAGAATTGTTACTAAACTCGAGGAGCAGGAGGAAAAAAAAGAACGAAGTACTTCTATCCATTAATCACTTAACACTATACTGTAGAAGAAATGGATATTTTTCTTGGTATTTCCTTGTTACATTTAAACCTCTGCGCAGTTAATATAATACTTATTTACGGCTTTCTCGAGTTTTATAATATGTTTGCTTAACCCGAAACTTTTGATTCTGGAAATAATTTTAAAGAAGTATGAAATGACATTAAAAACATTTGCTTTTATTCAAATTAAAGTATTATTTATTTGATGATAAAAAGTTTTCTTACTATTTTTGTATTATTTTTGTTTATTTTTGTACGTGATGAGTTTTCAAACACATTATAGCGATAAACATTATTGGTGTTAAATTTTAAACTAGTTCATGGCGGTAAGTCCGACACACACAAAACATTAACATTGACATTGATCGAAATTTATTAGCATACATTGGCTATATAGGCTTTTTGTATATCATTCGAAAAGGGATATGTGTTATCAAATTAATTTTATTGGCATTTTTTAAGCTGGATTCAAAAAAAAAAATTGTATATTGGAACCGGGTATGCCACTATCTCAGGTGAGAAATTGGAAAGACGTAAGAGACGTATAAAGTTATTTAATTTATATCTATAAGCAACAAAAAACTATTTGGAATGAAGTTCGGTTATCTATGTTTTGAAAGGCCGTAATATATATTTATGATTTTTATCAAAATTTAATACTATAAATCCTATAAAAAAAAAAACTACATTAAACTAACTTAATTGTTTTTAATTTTTGACCTCTAAGTAATACTTATAACGAACTTCTTATTAAATTTTCAACCATTTCTGTTAAGTCTAACAACTTTATCCATAGAGTACCCATACATAAAAAATCTTGTAAAAATAAAATATCTATGAGAAGCTCAGAAATAACTCAAATGGTTTTAAAAATTGATTACGTCTAAAAGGCAAATGTACATTTTTGTCAAAATGTTAAGCCTCTTTGAATATTTTTAACTGAATTGCAACAAAAAAATACAATTTAAAATAAAAATATTATTTTTATAAATTTTCCCGTTCTTTCTACTTATTTTTCAGTTTTGCTCAATTATTAAAAACACTAGAGGGAATATTAAAAAATAACTTTCTTACTCACTAATTAGATTAAAAATTCAATAAAAAAGATCACTTGTCATTTTTTTATTGGAGCAATATTTCTCGTAAAAAATATAATCAGTAAAAACTAAAAACAATGAAATCGATAACGCTGCAGTGTGCCGTAAATATTTACCGTTTTACCTATAATTATTTTTTGGTTTTTCCCATTATTATGAAAACCCCTCAGAAAATCAAAAAATGACCTCAATGCACCAACTAGAATCTTCTAGAATTTTATCATCTAGAGTTACTAGATAATTAATATTTTGATGAACTAGATTTCAGAAAAGATCCTATACTTGGTACATCGGAGCAAGATTTCTGGTAGAAAAGTTGTTTAGACACAAAGCAAAAAAAAAGAAAAAAATAATAATAATACCAATAGATCCCTCTTACGCTCCGAATCTAAAATAGTTTAAATAATTAAAATAGTGCCTGCGTGCCCTTAGAATTAAACTACTGAAAATTTGAATATTGATGCATTTATTTTAGTACGTAATTGTATAATATATCAAGCGTTGTAAGTACACATTGTACCTAAATATTACAATATCAAGTACAAAGTGAAATTAAATTAACATTTAAATTTATATCGACGACTACGGGTAGATATTTTATAATGGACAAAAAAAAAAAAAAAATGTTTTATTTAAATTATATTCACGAAATGNTTTATAATGGAAAAAAAAAAAAAAAAAATGTTTTATTTAAATTATATTCACGAAATGTAATGCATTTTTAATTAGATACATAAAACAGAAATAAAAAAAAAATTGTTTTCAATACTTCTATTTTTTTCCTTTGATCAAAGAGTCTATATTGTAAAAAATATAGCAGTTAAATTAATTTACGCGCACTATACCGTTACACCGCTCATAACTTTTTTTTTTTTTTAAGATAAATTAGAAGAGGGTGTAAATGTTTCTCTATCAATCCTATGTTCACGCTAAAATTAAAAAAAAAAAAAAAACCATTAAGATGCCACTTTTGTTAAATTCGCAGGTTCAGTCGACGTCAATATTTGACTAACGCATTTATTTTGAACACAAGGATGTACCTACTGTTGTATACATATTACGGGGAACAGAAATTTAGAAAAATTATATTTTAATAATTTTACAAAAGAGCTCGTGTTATACAAGACGTATAAAAACGAACATGAAAAGTTTAAATTTTCTTTGAAACTCATTATATGGTATGTTGGTGTAGGCGTACAAACAAAATTATGACAATTTCAAACGGATAATATTCAGCAGCATAATATGAAAATACAAATTATTTAGGACCAGTGGTAGTTTTACGGAGGGGAAGGTCTAGAGGTCTGGACCTCCTAGACTCCGAATTTAGACTGCGAAAAGTATATTTTGTGTTATAATTTATAAATTAAACTTAAACTTTGTTGTTGATTGAAATATAGGTACATTCATGTAGATAATAATAATAAAAAAAAAATATATACGTTAATTAAAATAAATAAATAAATATAAGGTAAATATTTTTTTTATGTTGAATATATTGTAAGTTAATACCAAAGGATTCCCCCCTACTAGAAAAAAGTTCAAAAAACCGTCACTGTTTAGTACATTCGGTAAATGTTTTATAACAATAGACATTATTGTGTAATGTGACCGACAAATATTACATATGATATATAGGGTTAACAATATTTCAAAAGCTAATACACCGCGTTGGGTATGTTTTACCCACGGATGTATATATATATATATATACATATATACATTATTATATTTTGTCCTGCACCCCTTTGTGTTTGGCATTTTGCACTGGTTATAATTTAGTTTTATTATATAGTCGTATGAGAAAAAAAAATATATATATCAAAATGGCAGTCGAGTTTTTTTGTGAGTTATATATATATATATATATATAGGTACTTATCGTAAATCGAAATTTCAAAAAAAATCTAATCTATCCGCGGTCATTGACAATACAGAGAGCGGTGAGGTATAATATCAATACTGACGAAAACCCGAAAATAAAAAAATATTGTATTATTCCTGTACGATAAAATAACGTACAATTTGAGGGACGCTATATATATGCATACGGGTAATAGGTATAGGTAGGCAAACTTTCATTTTGTTATTGGTACGTACTCGTGTACGATAAAAAAAATTGACGCGCCGAATGAACATATTTTATTTGACGAATATTATATAGGTAAACATTTTTCGGGTACACTGTCGTCGTCTTTTTTTCATAATACTGAACGGTCGTAAGTGCATATAGGGAAAACCGTGCATTCGGTAATAGGCGAATAATATAAAAACTATCCCCGTTTCCTGACGTCCCCCACGACGAGACAAAATTCGTTACCACAAACCATTCCTCCAGACGATTGAAGCGCCAAGCCAGGCTCCTCGTTTAAACATTGTGAGAACGCAGCCAAGTTTATTTTTTTCAAACCGTTGTGTTATATTTGCGGGAAAATAATAAGGGGCCAATAGTTTACTGTTGCCAGTCTAACCGGTTTTCTTCAAAATTAGACAAACGTCATAAATAGTCCTGACGCGAAGAATTTTCCATTTTTCCAATGGAAAAATGTGGTTTTTCAACGAATAAAGATCTTCATTTAGTACATGAACTTTATTGGAGCAGTATCAAATTTGGATTTCATTGAGTCTTTTTCTTGACGTCGCGCGTCACTGTACACTGCCGCCATGGCTAAAATTATCTTATTTTTTGGACATTGTTTTATCGGTGTGACTGGTTAGAAGTGTCCCCTAAAAAAAAAAAAAAAATGGTAAAAAGTGAACCAAAACGAGGAGATAGTTGGTATTCCGACCTTATTTTCTAAGACTACTAGCTATTGTTCTAAAAAAAAAAAAAAACAATACATTTCCACCCAATTCTACGTTATACGCTACGAATTTAAAAGTTAACAATATTCAAGCGCATCGCAATAATATATCCTTCAAAGATGTGGCGAAATGAATTTCATCGTACACGTGCTGCGGTCACAATAATAATAGTACTACATATATCGTTTGTTCGTTGGTCCTATATTATTGTGTACGTCTTGGTCGATTAAGTTTGTCGAGTGCACCACCAAAGCTAGAAATTCTCATATTATTCACTATCGCATTTATACATACCGGGTGCGTCGAAATAGACTCCTACGTTTCTGAAGTGAATTCTAAAAAAAACGGTATGAGGTGTGGACAACGTTATTTTTTGTTAGTGTTTAAAAATAAGATCTTTCAAATGTTGACCTTCCACGTATGGCAACTTTTCTAGTGGTTCTCCATCACTCTCTCAAATATAACCTACTCACCCCACCCCTATGTTTTGAGAGTCTGTAACTTTTTCCTATTTGGGCACCTCAAAATTTGAAGAACTCAAGGCCATTCTTGAAGAAATCGCCGGAATTCCCCAAGATCGGAGAGACGAAAATAATGATGTAAAACGTCTAGGAATGGATTTATATTTGCATCGTTTGTCAAGACTAACATTCGAAAGATATCAAAATCAATCAAAAAAAAAAAACTTTATTATGTTATGTAATTCTGATAAATAAAAATCATTTTCCCACACCTTGTATCGTTTGTTTAGAACTTACCACAGAAATGTGAGAGTCAATTACACTACATCCTGTATATTATATAATATAGGAAAAGTTTTACAAAACGCGGCGCAACAGAAGCCGGCCGCGGTGGGGGCGACATATAGTGTAACTATTACCGCGGTATACTTACTTACTGTGCATACGTATGTATGCGGCAAGTAACCCGGAGATTGCAAGAGTCTGTAGGTGCGGTGGACGAACGGAGCAAAATACTGTTTAAAACTTGGCCCCTGCGCTCCTCGTATACAACACAGTGTAATAATGTAATGCAGTTATGTTTGTTGCCACTGACAATCTTCTAGCAGACGCCGCCGCCGACGTCGAATTGTTAACGAAAAGTTTTTTGGCGCGAAGTTTGTTCGCCGGGACTTGTTTTCCGAAACTTTTTTATTCCTGTCCGTATACCGTCTCTCTTTCTCTCTCTTTATACTATATAAAACTTTTACCGGTAGTTAATATCTACAGAAGCGGTGGTGAGGGGGTTGAAAAGTTAAGTTCGAAATTACTTTTGATGACGCAGATTATTGGATCGGCCATTTAATCCACCGAATAAATATTTCCGTTACTCCGTTGTATATCACCACCGCCGCTGCAGTTACCGGCAAACCCATCCCCTCTTTTATTTGTTTGTTTGTTCGATTCCGCCCCGTATTTTCGTTGTATAATATTATGTAGAAGTATTTATTTTGATTTTTTTTTTTTTGCCATTTCTTCTTTAGTCTTTCTTTCCATTGTCGCTGCACGTATAAAATAATAATAGTAATAATATTAAAAAAAAAAAAAAAACATATTATATATACTGCGTCGGAAAACGCGACAAATAAAATGTAAATTGAATTACGCGTAAGTTATTATTATTAAACCGATTTGGATTCTACTTAACAACGCGGGGGTTATGCGAAAGAAAAGTAAAGAAAGAAATACCAAATTTAGTAGAAATAAATTAATATTCTTTTTATAATATAACAGACGCGATTTTTTTTTTAACCTTATAAAATATCCACAAACACTGCGGACTGAGATTTAATCTTACACTTACATAATTTTTAGTAATATATTCTAAAAATGTTTACAATTTAATTTCATATACTTTTATCGCGACAATTTCATTATAATAGTTAATAAGGAGAAAAAAACAAAATATACCGGGAAAAAACATTATAATATCGTTTCTAAAATATTTGCAATATTTTTTATTTATTTTTCTCAAGAAACGCAATATTAATTTGTATTATACATAAAAAAAAAAAATAAATGTTTTTGATGTATTGTTTATGCGATATAGTTTGTATTTAATACAGCTATAGTTAGTATTTGATAGATACCAATAAACTAAATAAATAATAATCTATAGACGCCTGCAGACTTCCTTCGTGTTTCGTGTCGTATTTTTATGTAGACATTTTGATTCGTTAAACTATAATTTTTATAAATTTCATTATTATAATTATTTAATATAGGATAGTAGGTATTTTTTTCATAGTTATGGATGATTTAATACAAATGAATATGTTTATAGATTTATTTTTCAATTCAAAAATCAGACTGGAAATCGCAATGTACGTTTATTTACCCATGAGATAGCATTATACGTTCGTTCGCGGCTAAAATGAAAAGATTTTCCAAACTACAAACACAATACTAGAAAATAAAATTGAAATCGCACCGTATTCGATAATAGGTTTTGTTTTGATAATCGGATAGTGATATGAAAAAAAGGATGTTGACGGAGAAAATAAAAATGGATGGGATTATACAGGTACAAATAAATTTTCTCATGTCGCGAGGAGTTCCGAAAAAAAATAAATAATAACAATAATTGTAACATTCATTTTGAACCTGTTTGAACCGCTATCGCAAACTAATTTCTCTATTTTACACCAGTATTCTTTTCATGGGTAAATTTATACCGGTATAACCTATCGAATTTCTAGACGACATAAAAAAAGTAATATTATCAAATTACAAATCATCGTAGTATACATCGAATAAAACGTTTTTGGTGGTAAACGAACTGCAAAATCTTTCAAATACGATATTATAATATGTGCGCCACGTTTCATGACATTTAAATATTATTTTAGCACATTCGACAAATTAACTATACAATTTATATTGTTTTAAATAACACTTGGCTTACATAACGTTCTAATCAGTGTTGTAACGTATAATGCGGTATAGTATATATAACTAACCCTAAATTATTTTACATATAAATGCCCTACGCCCTTTTCTGTTTATTGGTTATTTCGGTGTTTTTTATCGTTCAACAAAACATGGTAATTTATATAAAAATGATAGGTGGCCCCTCCAAAAAACAAAAAAAAAAAAACAACTTGGCTACGGTACTGTGTAATATAATGTAATGACCAAATAAAATAATAATACAAATTTAATTTAACTGCCAATAGCCAACTACATTACAAATCACATGTTTTGTAGTTTATGATATTTTATGTATGGAGATGATAAGTAAACGACTGGTTTCGTTTAGTGCATGAATGGGGCGAATCGTCGCGGACCACAGTCAACAATATTATGATCATATATACAGAATTTTATTTTATCATTTCATTAATGATGTCAGATAATTAATATATTCAAAACACTATTTTAACAATTCGTTTATATATCTATAATATCATTTAAAAATTCGTTATTAATAATATATTCACATTATTATTTTACAAAATAATTATTTGATATACTATCAATACTTAATAAATAATATCATTTTTTTGATAAAAAATTGATATTTATATAATATTAACATTACGGATATGCCATCTAGGTATGTTTGCATAAACATAGTTTTATAACTTATATGGCAAAAATATTTTATTCTTGTGACAATATTTGCATTGTATTGATTGAGGTTATTATTAAATAATTTATAAAAATATAATACTAACTCAATAGTATTAATAATAACACCATTGAAACAAAATGATTTGTTGTTATGTATACGTATATTCTTATTGAGCATACAATTCAATTACTATTAACAGTTAACAATTATGCCTTGTCAATATTACATAGATATTTTCTTTGAGTGTACGTCTAAAACTTAATGCGAATAATCTCTACACTAATTTCTATCCAATTTACGTATAATACTTACTAATATGATAACAATATATTTGTAAAATAATTGATGTTTTAAATATTGATTTTTATTACGTTTCTGCATGTCCTGTCTTATCCAGTTTAGCCATTGGACATTAAAATTAAACATAATGTGTAGTTAATAATAAGTACCTAGTTTGTATTTCGTACGTGTACCTAATATCAATACACTTATAGAATTTACTCAGTATTATTTATTCCAAATCTTTTCTTTTTACTCGGTATACATTATTATGCATTATTTTCTGTTTAATAGAAATAATAATCAAATAAAATATTGAAAATTGCGGGTGCATAAATTGATATTTACATTTTGTATACATAATACATTTTATTTTTTATCTAAAATAAAAAAAAAAAATAGCTGAATAAATCGAGACAGAAGTATTGATTATGAAATTATATTTAAATTAAATAGCAAACACAACAAATTCGTAGAAGTTTTTATACACGCCATCCCTGAGTCTAAGCTAACCTAACTTCATCTATAAATTATGTTTTTTTTTTTTTTTTTTTTATTACGTATATTTATAGATTTATATATTTTGAGCTTTCTCCTTTAACTTTAGATAGAAATAAAAATACAAACTGCCGCTCCTCCCGCCCGTACACGAATAATATTCATTTAGAAACTTTCGTATGCAACTTCCGTATCGCCCAGACGTAGGCAGGTATACCTACTTTCTACCTACATACCGGGCACTACACTGCCGGGCGGAACAATATCATAATATATGCGTAAAAAGTTTGCCGCGACACGACGACAATGGAATTACCCGAAAACCTTTCAGTCGACTTGTACACATAAAAACCGACTAACGGAACAGCTTAGAGGGTTGATAGGATGACGGTGCATAGGATGTGAGGGATGGGGCGAGGACGGGGGGGGGATGTGTATATAGCGTTCGATATGAAAATAAAATGGAAATAACTTTCTGCAGCAACTATATAGTAATAGAGTACACGGAGAGGAAATGGAAGTCGAGGAGAAGAGAAAAAGAAAAAGAATCAAACACGCGCGCAGTATTCACCAGAGGAGAGAGAGAGAGAGAGAGAGAGAGAGCGAGAGAGAGAGAGAGAGAGAGAAAGAGAGAGAGACAGAGAGAGAAAGAAAAAAAAACATTATTTTACCGCTCGCTATTTACTTTATGCTCAAAAATATGTTTCGCCCTTCCGGATGAATGATTAGGATAAACTATTTGAAGCATGTGAAGGAAATGTTATTCTCTTTTTTTTTAACATTTAGGTAAACATTTCTCCAAGTCGTAAAAGTTACATCGAACTTTGTAAATTCACGTATACACCAGCCATGTATACATACTATACGAGTATATACAAAGTGGTACTGTTGCTCTGCGCGACTTCGGGCTTTTAACTCGAGAGCTATTTTTCTACGATCAATAATATTATACTATAAAGAAAACCATTTCCAAAAAGTTTTAAAAAATATTTGTTGTTTAAGTGTATACATAGTCTATATACTGTTATAATATAACAGTCAATTTTTTTTAAATTTTTTATTTAGTATATTATGATAATAATAATCGTATTACAGAGTACTCGAAATCACAAACGAATACATTAAGACATTTTGAAATAATAATACAACGTATTATACAGTTTATTTTATAATGTGTGTACATTATAATATATAGTTACGAATTACGACTTGATTAAGTGTGTCGTTTAAATTGAAAAAAAAAAAACGAAATCCGAAAAAATCAAATGACTTCATACTAAATAAAATATAAATAGGTAGAATACTACTTTTGTTCACTTTTAAATTTCCTCGTCGATATTATTCTTGCCAAGTGTAGGTTGACTATGCTATCATCAACGATCTAAAATAATACAATAAATGATTCAGTGTTAAAGTTAAATAAACGTACTATATTAAATTGTTTCGACTGACAACATAAAATGGACAATATAAATGCTAAGGTGTAGATTTTAAACACTATAAAAACACAAGTGTGTGATATAGATAACCTACTACCATATAATTAGGTATTTTTTTTTTTTATTCCATCCACAATGTATTTGGGGCGGGAAATTAGAGAGATATATCTCTCCCTTAGACCCTTTCTAAAAAACATATCCCGAAAAAAGTTAAAACTTTCCGAAATAATGTGTGTCTTTCGTTATACTGATCACCCCGTATGAATGATATTGAACAAATATAGCTAATCTAATGGCCGATTAAATTACAGATATTACTTAGAAAAATATATAATTAAAAATTAAACGGTTTTTTTTTCTTTTTAGTCCACACACGTTATGCGGTTTGATACAATTTTCAAATATCCCTCTTTTCTTAATAAAATCCTAAATATGCCATGCTGCATGATGTTATAATACGAGAATAATATAATATTTGAAATGTTAATATTTCATAAATAATATTGTATACACACGCTCATTGTATTCAGCTGTGCAAATTATAAACGGTTTTTGTAAAATTAAATTAAAAAAAAAAAAAAAACCTGCAGTATAAACAGTTTGTCTCAAATTAATTTATTACGGCTTGATTTTAATTTAAAATATATAAATATTCATAAAGTGGGTTCTAAATGATATATTTTAAGAATTATTTTTATATATCGTTCCAATTTCTATTTAATTAAATTCAACGTGCTACCTATATTTTATTCTGAATTCGAAGAAAATAAGGGAACATTTCGTTTTACAGTGATATATTTTTTATTATTATTATTTTTTGTTATTTTTTTGGTACGAATATCTTATATTATACATTTGGTTTTTGTAATTAATTAAAAACCCGTCGTTTACTTAGAATGTTTGTCAAAAAAATTTCTCATAAATATTGTGGTAAGTGTTGTATGCAGCTATATACATGTAGGAACCTATTATATGAGTACAAAGAAGATTTGATTTAATACGAAATACACCACACACAGTTTCTTATTATTGTATATTTTCAAAAATATTCCCAATAGTACCTAATAATAATATTAATGAAACTAATAATTTTTTCTAATTCCTTTATCAAGTTATTTGATTTCAACGATAATTTTAGCACAGATTGAAATTATAAACTATTTATAAAAATTAATTAATTAAAAATTTAAAAATTTAAAAAAAAAGTGGATCATTTTTTTCCAATTTTGGTACGCCTACACAATTTTTAAATTTAATATTTTCCCTTCTTGAAAAAATCTTAAATATGCCACTAGTAGGTACCTATGCTATTTTACATAGCCTAAAGCTTTTCAATTTGATTGTAATTTTTATTATTATGACCAAAGGTATATAGGTAGATACATAAAAATAATACTATTATACCAGACACCGGTAATATTTTATTTACTTCGAATGGCCTACCGAACGCGGTCACTGAAACCTCTATGAAATTCGAATTCGGTTCAATAACTACGCATAGTGTTCTCAGAGCGAATTCAATAGCACCCAAAATGCCCGGACTGATCGACGAATAATTGTTGTGTAAAAAATTCGTGATTACATCGCTGTTTCTTCCGATTGCGCTGGCCTCGATATGAAAATCATAATTATAATGTATCGCTTTAATTTTAAAACATAATACTCGTATATATTATAGATACTCACGAGGACATGAGAAATGGTACCATATGTATCTGTAATGTACAGACATTTCTCATTTTTGTCGCACGACGCTATCATGAAGGATTCGGTGTACGGCAAACTCGGTAGATTGTTGAGTACTCTGATTTCCGGATCTATGGTGAAATTAAAATTAAATTGATTACTAATATAATGTACCGCAGCAATGCCGAATCCGAGGATATGTGCCCCCATTGCCTTAAGTGCTACTTCTCTAAACTTCTCGAAATCGTTTTTTTTTTTATCATGGTTATTTAGGTTGTTTCGGTGTATTTTATATAATTTTAAAAAGTATAGTAGGTAATAATTAAAATTATTATTAGTGCCTCCTAGACATTTTCCTTGGCTACGACAATTGTACTCTGTGGAATCGATATTTTCATGAAAATTTGTTCATCCCTCGAAATAGCCACTTCGAAAATTGAAATCGTATACTATATTCACAAAGCGGTCAGTTGATTTGTGTATATACCTAGTTAATAGAAAATGAAAATAAAACTTTACCGATTAAAAATTCAGCAACGTAACATGCCGGCGAATTCATTCCATGTTCGCTGTTTGTGTATAGTTTTGCTCGGTCGATCAACGAATTGTTTAAATTCCCTAAAACAAATTTACATAACTTGACGAGTATGTACACATTTTATAAAATAAGATACGATTTATAAGATATAAGATGTTTCAAAGTAATCTTGATTGGCATTATATTTTGTCAGATATATCAGAGATAAACTGAAAAGGGATGAGTTATTAACCCCCTCTGAAATATTAATAACCCTTTAGTTTGCATTTTAATTTTAAATAATAAATTTATTTAGGTAAAGCAATGCAAAGGTAGGTTATACGTGATAAATATTTTTGCGATTCTTCGTCTCCTACCTTACCCCGGAATTTTTTTATGCATTCATCTCTGTCATGCATATTAAATTCGATTTATTGTATGCATGTATAGTATTGAATTAATAGAAGCTGCAGGTTGTAACCAATTACTTTTTTAAAAGCTATTATAAACATTGCAGTAAAACTACGAGTAGTTGTAGATAAAGTTTAATTTTGTTCACAAGAGCATGTTGAGAATAAAGTACAAGTTATGAAAAAAAGAAAAATACACATTGAAAAGAAACAATTTATTTTTGTTATCCTTGCTATTTTCTTATTAACTGTTTTATCTGTTTTTTATTTTTAAATTTTTAGGGTACAGAAATGATTATTTAAAAAAAGTGATTTGACTAAAGTAAAATCGATGCATAATATTGTTATATCCATCTAAAAAGGTTCTCGATCGAATTAATATTTTAACTATATGTATCTATCTCGAATTGAGGTTTGCGAAACAAACCAAAATAGGTCGTCTTTGTAAAACTAATGACAAGATCTTTATTACATACTCCGGGTCTGTTTAGATTCTTATAATCACTTTTTTATTGTTAATATTTTTTATAACAAATTAAATACCTATTTAATTTTAAATTTCACGTTCAACTCGCGAATAAATAGTTTTAGTAGTTTACTATTATTTTGTAAAAAAAAAAAAAAAAAAATCGAAATATTTAATGCAATACGATTTTATTACCTGACCACGCGACGGTAATTTTACCGTTCAGCGAACACATCGAGTTGTGTTTTTTATGAAATTTTTCGCTAGCGATGACGACACAATTACTTCCCACTATACCTACCTGCGGGGAAACAATAAATTATATGGAGATTATAAAAAATGAACAAGTATTTATAATTGAATATGTCATATTATTTACATATGTATTATATATGTATTATATATGTATATTATGTACATATGTATATTTACATATGGTTGATACCAAATCGAGTTTCATTTGAAAAAAGTACTTTATAGAGGTTAGCCGAATAGACTCCTGTTTATTACCAAGATTTATACAATAAATACAACACTTAGAATATCATATGACGGATTACGTTAATGGGACGCTTACATAGTTCAAATATTTGAAGACAGATTGCTCAACAACCTCAATAACCTTAATTTTTATTATTATTATTTTATATAAGTAGTGACTTGTTGGCTTCCATTTAAACGTTTAAAACAATTTAAAATTTATATTGTTATTTTTGATTATTATAATTATTTAAGAGATCGTAATGACATCATTTTACTCACATTTTTATCCATGCCTACTTTATATTTTCTAAGTTTACAGGTCTAGCCAATTCAATCAGTACCTTATGGATAATATAAAATATTTGAACGGTAATCAATTCGGCTCACCGGTATAAAACACCTTTTTCAAATGGAAAACAGCTAGACCTAAATCCATACATACAGGTTGATTCATTTACATTGAATCAACAATTTTCTCGGAGGATTTTATGTGATTTCTAATTTCTATTTTTTTTTTTAACCATTTTAAATTTTTAAACACTACTCCATCATATAACTTAAATAAGTATATACTTTTGTTTTGAAAATAGGAACTCTCCTTTTGAACATAGAGTCGAATAGAGAATATTTTTCTAGGCATTTTGATATGCATAAAATTGAATTATCAATTTATCATTTCAAAATAGACATGCAATTTATTACTCTTCTCTTCTCATCCGGTTCAAATTTTAAACAGTTATAACTAATAAACAATAAATCCAATATTAGTTTAGGTATGCATATTAAAATTTCTAAAAATAAAATACTTTATATGAATCTGTACCTATTTAAAAAGGGGGTTCCTAATTGTAAAACAAAATTATATATTTATTTAAGGTATATAGAGTTGAGGTAAAAAATTAAAAATGTTTTTAAAATAAAGCTTAAATGATTCCAAAAATGTTAAATGCTGTTAAACATTATAAAAGATATTAAATTCACTTAAAATCCTCCAAGATAATGATTTATTGGTTCATCATAAACAAATAACTGTATTTATATGTATAAATAAAAATACGTCTTACCATGAGGTTACCGACCATTGTTTTATTATCTTCTGTACTTTGAATCATTTTAATATTTAATGTCTCAGTTCGTTTGTAAATTTGCTTTAGTTAAATAAATATAACGAAATTAAATAGGTAATACACGGGAAAAAAACAATATAAATTTGCCGTTACCATTATCGAAATACTCATACCATAGATGAATCATGCTGAGCAGTGCTTTCACTTCATCAACCAAAAATTATTTAAAAATATTGTTTTAGATACTTTCTATGGATATTAGGGTGGCCCTTCGTCATATAGGTGATTTTTTTTTATAACAGTTTTTTCAGTCTCACCCCCTAAATTGGTTCAAATATGTATATAAATGAAGTATACAAAATTTCATATCGATAGATTAAGTTTAATCCGTGCCCCCCAGCCCTCAAAGTTCAAATATATGGTTCTGTTCAAGTAACCACAGTTTTTTTTAATTGATTGACTGCTATCTCGTTGTTATCATTTCTTTCAAAAATAAATTTCTGACATTATTTATAGTAAATTAAATTGTCTATAACTTTTGTTCTATATAGTTTTTTGATTAACGTAATATTTATTAATATAACTGATTATGAAACATAAAAGTTTTTAAAAAACGTAACAATATTACAAAATATCTAAAATATTGTTATATTTTTATAATTTATTTTGGAAAACTGGTTTTATTTACTATCTAAAATAATCGCACTTTAATGAAATTATTTTATTTTATTATCTTTTAATATTTTAACGATTCGAAACAATTCTAAAAATATACTACACTTTAACAGCTACTGTAGAAGCGTTAGGTATACGTGTAAGTGATTTAATTTTAAACCGGACATCTATTAATCAAATACGCCAGCGTTTACGTAAGGACAGAGCAGATCAACTTCGAAATTAATTAAATTCTTCAGAAGTAGGTCCAGTTGTTGTTCATTGGGATGGTAAGCTGCTCCCAGATTTAACAGGAAAAGAGCTTGTTGATCGTTTACCAGTAATTGTTTCTTTTAAAAATTCTGAAAAGTTGTTAAGTGTTCCTAAGCTTATATCCGGAACTGGTCAAAATCAAGCAGCAGCAGTGTTTAAAGCACTTGAAGAATGGGGCCTTATCGATAATATACAAGCTTTATGTTGCGATACAACGGTTTCGAATACAGGTCGTCTAAAAGGAGCATGTATAATTTTGGAACAGCTATTAGAACGTGATGTTTTATACTTTCCTTGCAGGCATCACATTTACGAAATTATACTTAGATCTGCATTTGAAGTAAATTTTGGAGTTACACCTGGTCCAGATATTCAAATTTTTAAACGTTTCCAACAATTTTGGCCAAAACTTAATGTTAATAATTATAACACCGGAATAGAAGATATAATTGTCAGTGAAATATTAAATGATGAAACTAATGTTATGTTATTTTTTTATATGGACCAATTACGCAAATCTCATAACAGAGACGATTACAGAGAATTGTTGGAATTAGCTGTGATATTTTTTGGTGGTACCCCTACTCGTGGCATATCTTTTCAATGTCCTGGTGCAATGCATCATGCTCGTTGGATGTCCAAGGCCATATATTCATTAAAAATATTTGTTCCGTAAACAATTTAAATTAAAAAATTATGAAGAAGAATCAATCCGTACAATTTGTATATTTCTTATACGATTATATATTAAAGCTTGGTTTTGTGCACCTATTGCCGCTTTACCTCCATTTCAAGACTTACAATTTTTGAAAAGTCTCATCAGTTATGAAAAAATATATAAAAACATTTCTCAATCAACTTTAAGAAAACTATGTGGACATTTGTGGTATTTAGCACCTGAAACAGCAGCATTGGCATTTTTTGATCCTAATATAACAATTGAGACAAAAATTAAAATGTTCGATGCTATAAAATTAAATAATTTAACTTCTGAAATCAATAAACGAGTCATTGTGTCGCTAAATGAAGTAGCTCAATTCATGAAGAAAGAAATAAATGATTTTATTTATAATGAATCTACTTCATTTTTTTCGCGATTTGGAATAGCAACATCATTATTGGAGCAACATCCATCGATGTGGGATAAAAATGAAGATTTTCAAAAAGGCCTTGAAATTGTAAATACATTTCGTGTTACAAACGATACGGCAGAAAGAGGGGTAAAGCTCATGAAGGAGTATAATATGTTCTTAACAAAAAATGAAGATCAAAAACAATACGTGCTTCAAGTTGTCGAAGATTATCGCTGTAAATACCCGAACAGTTTNATTAAAAAAAACTGTGGTTACTTGAACAGAACCATATATTTGAACTTTGAGGGCTGGGGGGCACGGGTTAAACTTAATCTATCGATATGAAATTTTGTATACTTCATTTATATACATATTTGAACCAATTTATGGGGTAAGACCGAAAAAAATCCAATATCGAAAAATAAGGGCCACCCTAATGGATATATTATATTAAATATCGTTTCATTGCAATGGATGGGACACGTATACATCAGTATGCATTTATGTGGTACGCGGGCTTTTATTTGAACTATTTCTTTCTAACAGCCTTGAGCATATTTTAAAATATATTTATATTGGTATATATAAAGAGAATATATTTTAACCATGGTCTGAAGTACTCTAACAGATGTGTCATCTTTTTCACGTAATCTCTCTTAC